AAGCAGCATTTCTGGTGGGATGTTGTTGTAGTATCAGTATTATTTGTCCGGGGCATGCAGTGCAATGACGTGCCATTGTCAGTTAGGCTGGGGTGATGGTGGTATGACTGTGGCTGCGTATGTGTGAAAGTGTCTGGAGCACCCTAGAAGGTATAAAATTATCTACTGAGGGTATGCATCTTTCTTTGTTGTAACAAAACCAGTAATTCCCTGCATGTAAGAAGGAGCTTTTCTCAATAAATAATACTTTGCCACAATTGTTGTTCAAGATTTTCTGCTTTGTCCTTTCAGTACCTGGTACCAGCTACTGTAAGGTAGATCTCTGCATTTGATAGAGATAAATATAATGCAACATACCCATATGGCATCCTTATTTGCAAAAGCAAAGATCAAGTGGAATTTACTTTAAAGGTACTCTGCACTTGCGTCTGTCAAATGTATAGCTTCACTGGAAGAACAAAAATCAGAATTAGTATTTACCTTTAATAGCAAACAAATGTTTTTGAGAGCATGTATGCAACTATATCTTTTCCAAGTTTGGCTTTGCTTATTGATCCTATCAGAGATGGATGCACTAAGGTGGTAACATAGGAAAATAGGGAAGGGTTATCCTGCTTTGCATTTGACTGAATATAGTTTGAATTGATAGCAGTATAGCCCTTCCGCTTAGGCCTTTGTTAATTGTGTGTTTAGGTATACAATCCAGGTAGCTACAAGATAGGGCTTGGGAAAAAAAGATCTGGATAGATTTTCTATTCAGTAATCATTTAATTTTCTATGCTTTTGCCTGTGTGTGGATTCTAAGCGCTGATTAAAGCACACTTTGCCAAACTGTATTATAATGCTGTGCTGTGTGTGCAGCAGTGGGTGTTTATCAGCATTTTCTTTAGAAAAACACAGTTCTTTAGAAAACACTGTATTTTTGCTCTATTAAAGTTAACAGCTGACTTTAACCTAGTATGATGCTTTAGACAGAGATACAGTATTTACTGATTTCCTCTGAACAAAGCTAACTGATGGCTCAGTAATTCAGCAGTTCTTCATTCTTGATCTCCTGTACGCTTTGGAATTTTTAGTCAATGTCTGTTGCAAATTGTCCTTTGACTGTGTTTCATATGTCAGTACTAAAGGGCTAGTATTCTGTTTCTGGTTTATTCATTATATTTCCACACTTTTGCTTTTAGCAGATACCATAGATTTCCCACATACCCTTTTTCTGCAACTTCTGCCTAACTCTTCTAGAGTAGCATTTCTTCATGTGACTAATGTCACTGGTGTCACTGGAGCAACTTGAGAGAATAGGTTCTATGTAGTGTTGATTACAGTTGCAGAAAGACGTCCTAAATTCAGAATGTCTTCCAAGCAAATGTCTTGGTAGTGGCTTGGGTTGTAAGGGCTTCTGTGTGCAAGTGCGGTGAGAGGTGTATGGCTGCTATCATTGATATTCTCTCTCTGCCCCTGTGAGGCAAAAGAAATAGGCCAGGGAAAATCATTCTGTGACTGCAAATTACACTATTTTGAAGATCAGCTATATTACTAAGCAGTCTATGTCAGGAAGGTCATGAAGACTATGAATATCAGCACCATTCTTCTAGTCTCTCAACTGATGATATATATTGCCCATAGATTTCTAGACATTTGCTGCATAATTCATCAATAAAATATTGCTTCCATTTTACATATATGCAGTTTGCACTCCTTCAATTGTAAACAGACTTTCTAAGTTATTTTTACAATTACAGAGAATGCTAGAGCCTAAGTCACTTCCATAGAGTTGGTTTATGAAGTGAAATTCCTGTAATTACAAATTTACTGTCAAGTCTGGTGGTGTGGATCTATCTATATCTTATACATGCATTAACTGCTTGCTCCAAGCTTTTCATTTAACATTTACAGCCTTGACTGGTTTTGCGAAAGAGCTTTGTTTACCTGTGGTTGATGTTCATTATGACTGTTGCTTTCCTTTAATATTTGGCAGGCCAGAAGAATGTTTGAGGGAGAAATGGCAAGTTTGGAAGCCATCTTGAAAACACAGATGATAAAAGTTCCTAAACCCATCAAAATTATAGACCTGCCTGGGGGCACCACTCTGTTTGTGATGGAACACTTGGAAATGAGAGGCTTGAACAGGTAAAACACAGTATTATCTTTGCATCCTTTAAGCAGAAATTTGGACTATTATGACAATTATGTCACTTGTTTTCAGAGGGGACATTTGTTTTAATTTTTTTTAAAGCAAGTCAAGATACATTTGGGAAGTTACACAGCAGGGAACTGTATAAAATACTTCATAATACTTCACCTAGCAAATTGGTAATACATCAAGAAGTGAGTTTGGTTTGTGTTTAGTTTTGAGTTTGGGGTTTTTTTTTAGGTAATTAATGATTTTTACAGTAAGGAAAATGACCTACCTGATCACCTGGTTCGTGTACTTGCCTTTGATATAAGAAGCAGTGTTCAATATTGCTTGTCATGAGTATGCAGAGGCACTTCCCCAAATGAATGAATCCTGATTTCAATATTTTTACAATTTTCACCTTGATTTTGATAGTTTCAAACTTTTGGCCCTTCTCTGTGTCAAATACTTGAGTAAATTAAAATATGATGAACACTTCTGTCTGATTCCATTACAGAGGTGGTCATGACCATCCCAATCTCAGGAACTTTTACAGCTAGCTTAAAGTCTATCCCTCATCCTGCTCATCTGCAGAGTTTCTAATTCATTAAGAGCCCTTAGTGAGCTCTAAGAGAAAGAGCAGAAATCCTGTTGTGTTTGGGTTGATGGAGATGAAAAATGTGCAAATGCAACCTTTGGCATACAAATTTCAGGGGATAGCTACAATCTATGTTAACAGAAACAAAATGAAGAAATAACTTTGCCTTAAATGACAGTGCCTTGAGAACAGGGAAAGTTGTGAGAGGTCAAAGACAGGAAAAGGAACATACTTTTGTTAACATGGGAGGCAACTGGCTGTAAGAGTTGTTTGTAATTACTGCAAGACTTTTCTGAACTGTGTAGAGGATAAGCTTTTATTAAAAATAGATAAATAAGTAAGGCCCACCTGACCCTTCTATCTTCTAGGCCTTTTACAGAGAAGAAGCCAGAGACAGAGATATAAAGAAGAGTCTTGTTTGGCTCTATTTCCCAAAGACAGGTTGAAAAAAAAAAAACAAAACAAACCACAAACCATAACATGTTGTGTATGCTTTTCTTACAGATATCTGACTGAAAGTTCATATAGAAGTGATATCACACACAAATTAGAATTGATAGTTTCTCATTGTTATTAAATTTATAATTGCTGCTTACTTTCATTTTTAATAGTGTCGTCAGAAACAACCATCTAAGTACATTTTGTTCAATGTTAATACATAATCTTTATAGGGAGAGGAGATGTTTATAACCAGAATATTTTGAAAACGTACTTTTTTAGAGATGCAGAACTTCTTTTACTTGCTTGATAAATCTTTTCAAGTAACTCCTGGAATATCAAGAACCAAATTAATTCAAGTGTCAGTGTTGCTAAGAATACTTTTTATTTCTTAGACATTCAGCAAAGCTGGGAACACAACTGGCTGATCTCCATCTTCATAACCAGCAACTTCGAGAGAAGCTGAAGAAAGAAGAGAGCACAGTTGGTACAGTACACAGCTGTTTGCAAATTTAACCTAGTTAATAATAATCTACAAAATAGTTCAAATAGCTCTTGTCATTTCAGGATAAGTTCATCTTCTTCCAATAAAGATATTATGAAAATAGATTTGGATGAAACACTCAGGCAGGGGGGTTTCTTTTTGGTTTTGTTTGCACTATTTGGATCTCTGTAAGCAAAACATTTATTCAATTTGGGACCCTTGGGATCCTGAACTACAGTTTCTGCAAGGACATAGTATCAGAGGAGATACGCTACCTCAAAATATGATTATGAAGATTATAATATAGCTGCTTTACATCAAGCTTTAAAGTTAAAAACCAACAGCAACAACCATTGTAACAAAAAGAGTATTAAGGTGCAATTTTTTTTATTCTCAGCAGAAAAAGCATTGTACCCTTACATACTTTTTAAGGTCCATTTGCATTGTAGATACTTAGAATCTTGTCATTAGTATTGGATTTTTGTCTTTGGTTTGAAAGGTAAAGGTCAAGGGCAAATGGAAGTCCAGTTTGTGGATCAATTTGGCTTTCATACAGTTACCTGCTGTGGCTATCTTCCACAGGTAGGTTGTACTTCATCAGACTCATAGAATTTTAAGTTTATCTTATTTTCCCTTCAGTGATACAAAAGGCCAAAATTATCATAAAGCAAATTCATTTATTTCTGTGGAGTCATAAAAAGAAAAAACATTGTTCAACCTGCTAAGGAAAGTAGTGCTTTGGACAGCACTTGGAGCTGCATTGGACATTCATAGCTCTTCAATTTCTTGCTTTTTATCACTTAGAGAAAATTATTTATTCCCTTAATTGAATGTTTTAAGATAACATTCTATTAAATGGTAGCATTTACTGTCCTGGTTGGTATCAGCACAAAGGCTGTATAATCCTCAAAAGCTTTATTTGAAAAAGAAGAAAATCTGTCTTTTGTGTGGTGTAGCACTAACATCTTCAGTCCTGTTCCTTCAGGTGAATGACTGGCAGAACGACTGGGTGACTTTCTTTGCCAAACAAAGAATCCAGCCCCAAATGGACATGATTGAAAAGAATTCAGGAGACAGGGAAGCAAGAGAACTTTGGGCACAACTTCAGGTAGGAGAAATTCTCTCAGTTCTTATTATAGTGATGGCTAGGTCTGTTGGTAAGAGACTCCAACTTTTAGGGATTAAAGTGCCCTTTATTCTAAGGTATAATGGCTTTTGCCACATGACCCTATGCTAATATTCCAAAGTGAATGTGTGCCAAATAGCACTCTCCCTTACTATTTGGGAAATACTAGACCGAGTTCACATTTCTCATTCCCTGTAACATGTTTGTGATGAGAAATGTATACAAACAGTACTATTCTGCACATCATCTATTCATTTAAGGTATGTATCTGATTAAGTGACTACAGTATTAGCTATTTGGGTACTTCTTTGTAGAAATCCCCTCAAGGTTGGCGAGAGATCCCTGAGCCTTCTAATGATGAAGTGGTGGTGATGTTATTAAAGGTGGTCAATACTGCAGCACCGAATGCAGTTTAAAATATTTTAGTTTCTTGGTAAAAAAACCTTTGGATGACTATTCTTCAGCTGCTGGCTTTTATGAAAAATAGAAATCCTCTTGATTTTCTCAGCATCTCTGTTGACTAGGTCCTATGCGTTTCAAGTTATGTTTTTTTTTTAACTGACTTTTAAGAAGTTTCAATTCATGCTGTACATGTATGCAGATAAAACTCTACAATCATTCACCTTAAAATGTAATACTTACACGTCTTGCTTTTTTCCTCCTGCAGCTGAAGATACCCAGTTTGTTCCATGACACAGAAATTGTTCCTGCTCTCCTGCATGGAGATCTCTGGGGAGGAAATGTAGCTGAGGATGATTCTGGTCCAATTATCTTCGATCCAGCTTCTTTCTATGGCCATTCAGAGTATGAGCTTGCAATAGCTGGGATGTTTGGTGGCTTCAGCAGTTCTTTTTACTCTGCTTATCACAGTAAAATTCCCAAAGCTGCAGGGTTTGAGAAACGCCTAAAGCTTTATCAGCTTTTTCACTACATGAACCATTGGAACCATTTTGGTACAGGGTACAGAGGGTCTTCTCTAAACATTATGAGAAACCTTGTAAAGTGACTTGCTGCTTAAGCAGAATACTTCCTATGTTGCTTGGAAAACCCCATACTTGGCAGTACAACTAAAGGAGTTAAAAAAAAGCTACTAGACCCTTGACCTTGTTGCACAGCTAAAGACCTAGAATCAGTGAGTCCTGCTGACTACCGACTGTAACATAGCGATCCCTTTTTAGGATAGTTGGGAGTAACTTTATGAGGGAAATATCTAACGAAGGAGTTTATTCAGTTGCACAAAAGATCTGTTGGTGTCAAGAAAGCATTGTGTTTCTTGAGACTAGGCTAGGTAATACAAATCAAGCACTGAAGTGTAAATGATTTGGAAAATGTTCTGTCTTAGGGACCAATTGCACTTCAGATTAGAGAAATAGCAGGGTTTGCATTTGCACTCTAATGGAAAGCATTAGAGAAGTGTTTGTGAAATGGAAAATTGCTTTTCTCAGTACTGAGGAGATGGCTAAAAAAGTTGCTTATTGCTTTTTGTTGTTCCCCCCCGCCCCTTTCTGATAGATTGGTGAGGCTCTTTCAGCTCTTCATGTCCAGTTATGTGCATGAGAACAATGTTAACAAAATATTTTGAAAGTCAACAAGAAAATTATGTAATGGGAACTGTGAAAAATGATTTGGACTTGCTATTCATTATGCTAATATGATTCTATTGGATGGAGACTGCTTCCAGTTCTGTTACAAAGCTGTGTGAAAATGCTTATAATTTTTTCTGGCATATGCATTTTGGTGCCTCATGGCATTCTTGTGGGCTGTTCTGTGCTTGCTGGTTAGTGGGCTCTTATCTACAGCAATTTTGTTTTCACCAGAACTAGCTCTCTCTTCGGTTTTGGATTATGCTTTTGTTCAATAGTGTGCATTCTTAAAGATCTTTTCAGGTAAGATGCTTTACACATACACATCCTGTGAAGATGCACTCTCTCATACAAACAGAAGATGTACTTTTTGACTGCTGTCCCTGCCCACAGGATAATGCTATCTGGTTGTGGTACAGGCGTCACATAAATTTTCTGTAGTTTAGGTTACAGGTACCATAAACTAACATTTTTCTTCAGTCCCCACTAGGTGCACTTTGTAGCCCTTGGGATAAGAGACATGAAACCTAAGGAAGTTAAAATGTAACTCACAGAAGAGCAGCTCTACACCACTGTCAGAAGTTCTTTAAGGATAGCTTTGCAGACTATCTATTTCTTGTATCTGCAAGATGGTAATACTAAAATTGTACTCTTTTTGATGTAGGCTGGTAATGATATTTCAGTGCAAGCATACCAGGTAGGTGAGAGAGATGCATGATTCCTAACATGCATTTTGAGTGTTTGGGAATGACTGATTACTTAAAAATGGTTTTCACTGGATATTGGCAGATTACTGGGTGATTTTTAGTTGCTGGTTTTGCAGTTATTTATACAAACTGGAAGCAAGGTTAGAGAAGACTATCACTTGATTTAACTTTCTCTCCTTAATTCTACTGCTTTCCTCACTGGCTGTTTAACTTTTGCTTCAAAAAGTTTTAAAGCCTTGCTTGGTAGAATAGCTTTTACTTTTACTTTTACCTTGTTACTTAAATAAAAAGTTTCCCAGTTGATTATTGTTGTCTCTGTTTTCTGAATTAAAACCCTACAGCTTGTGTTCATTCTTGGGGAGCTACTTGCTCTAACCTGTTAAAGGTCCCTAGTTTGTTAGACAATTATGGTCATCAAAGGTGTTGATGGGGATGTGGTCATGGATTTTAATCTGGAGGAGTGTGTCACTGAAGAAAATTTACGTGTTAACTAGAGTATCATTTGAGGTCCTATCTGTGCCTTCAAACTTTATCTATTGTGCCAGCTGTTTGGATGTTGTTGAAATGTTATGTCCGTGCCCATATCCTTAGCCCATTCACCCAAACTTAACACTGCTTAGTGCAGCTGATTGAAGAAACACTGGAATTTTAGCCAGCAGACAATCTGGTTAAATCCCTTAACTATTTATTTCCATATGCCTTCATAATAAAATTAGAAGTTATTTAACAAGGTCATTCTGTTTACAGATCTTCAACAAATCAGTATGTTTATTTTGCTAAAACACCTAAATACTTTTTATCATTAGAAAATGAAAAGTGATGTGAAGGTAGATTTTCTGTCAGTCATAGACTTGAGTGATAAATGCTAAGTCTTCAAAGATCACCTTTTTACCTTTGTGAGAGAAGGAAAATTGTATTGTATGCAAGTTATGTAAATAGAAACAATTGTATTTAGAGTTTTAATTTAAGGGATATTATGCTTAGTTTTTTAAAGCTATTTTGTGCTACGTTTTGCTACAATTAAGAATAGAAGGTGTGTAGAGAGGAATACAAATGGAATGTAACAGCAAGCTCTACTGTACCATGGATCCCGTGATTTTGAGTTTTTATAGACAGCAGTTGGAGAAGGGGATGAAATCTTCTCTTCTGAAGGCAGGCTGCTGGTGAACCCTTAAGAAGAAATTGCTGCAGTTCTACAAGGTAATTTTTTTTTTCTTATGTATTGTATAGTTCTGCACTGTTCATTTTGTTGCATTACGTGTTCTAGGCATGCCTTTGTTATTCTTTCTCTCTTTCTCTCATAGTTTAAAGCTAAGGTGTCATGTACTGCTTTTCCTTCTCATATATTCCTCCCTCTTGGCTCCCTTCATACATTCTAAATCTAGCCAGCGTGTTTCCTTGTACCCATGCTCTCATTCTGTATTTCCTCGTTCTGTATCATAATTTTGCTAACTTTCCATTCCTGTTTGGACAAGGAAAAAGGGTAAAAGAACCACTGATTTTTTTCTTAAATATACAGCATACATGTATTTTTATATTATAAAAAATTGTAATATCCCCTCATAATGTTTCTAAGTCTTTTCACAAGATGGATCACAATATATGTGTGGCATATGTAGACTAAAACATCTCAAGGTATTTATTTCTTAATTCTTTGAAAACCAGGTATCTCTGTATCTTTTTTCTTAATATAAACTAAATTTTAAAATTAATTCCTTAGCGAATTAATTAGTGAGTTGGGATATGATTATGCATAATTTTGATAACGTCAGCTTCTGTCTTGTAGAGAGGGTAGGGGAAGGGAAACTTGGAAACTGGGACTCAGTGGCCAGGATCATAGGAAAATTCAGGTTGGGACAGACCTCAGGTGGCCACTTAGTTCAATTTCCTGCTTAAAGCAGGATGAGCTATGAGGACAGGCCAGGTTACTTAGGACAGTCAAATCCAGAGGTTATGCAGCCTCCATCCTCGGAGGGTTTCAAGACCAGACAAAGACCTAATTGTGTGAATACGTCCAGTTTGAACCTCTCAGCAAAAGCCTGTATTTTTGCTGAATTGCTTATAGTTCTTATGTACCCTTCATTTCAGTGTGATTTTTTTTTTTTTTTTGTTTTCATTCCCACGGACTGCTGCCATCTGCAAAAACTGCCTGTGGATATGAATGTTGCACTCTAGTACTGTTTTTCTTCCTGCTTTTCGTCTTCACTGCTGTTCCAAAATAGATCTGGTGATTTTAACTGATGCTGGACTGTTCTAGCAGAAGTAAAAGCAGGTAGGAGGCGGTATATAATTAGCTTGTCCTGTAGGTGCTGATTGTCACAGAAGATTTCAGGGTAGCATGTATTTCTCATAACTAAGCCACACCAGAATCACAATAGCTTTATTATTTTACTTTGTAAAATAATACTCAATTACTTTTCAACACGTTTTTCAATGGAATCTCAAAAGAATTCACTGAAATCTCCCAAGACGTGCTTGATACTGTATACAGAGCTACAACCTATGCACTTATGCTGAAGATCAGATCTCTAGGGTTAAAGGAGCTCTGAATTATTTGTCCTTGGATAGTTCTTTACTGAGAAATTATAACTTCTGTCAAAGGAAGGGAGGTTTTTATGATGGGAAGTCCATTCTTGCTCTTGGCTTACACTGTTCTATATAGCTTCTTTGTTTTCCTATGATTCTTTAGATACTTATACTCCCAAAGGAGAAGTAAGCAACCTTTTTCTTCATTGATATGCATTGGGATATCTGTCTTCTGGACAGTCTTTGAAAACAAACATTAGAAGCAGTTGTGAGCAAAACAAGAAGAGAGCTGGGAAACTAAACAGTTACAAACTCCACTACAAGCATAGACCCTGAGGACAGGTCTCAAACCAGGAGCCCAACACCACTCACATAAATAGTCCTTTGTACTTCCTCACCATCTTCTCGCATCTTGGTGAGGCAATCAATGTTTTCCTTCGTGATCTGGCCATGGTGCTGAATTGGTTGTGGTCGGAGGTTTCGTTGACGTCGTTATTTTCAAACACTCTGTTCCTTCGAGCCCATCTGGAATGCTTTGGAGTTGTTTTACTTCCAGTGTTTGAAATTATATTGTTCAAAGTTGCTTGACTGGAAACAATGTGAACAAAAATGTTAGGAAACCAGGCCTTTCACCTGTCCATTACTAGTTAAATATTGATCCAGCATGGAAGCAAACAGAAGGCTTTCCTGTCTCTTGGCTACAGTGTAAGTGATGCAATATATTTGGATGAACACAGTCCTACTTCTGGTTTAACCAAAAATGAAAGAAAATGTCAGAATGCTGAAACAACTGTTATGGTCAGTAACTATTGGCATCTTCATGGGAAATTGTATGAGAGAAGTCCATGGCATATTAGACTGCAAAAATTTTGGGTTCAGTAGCAATATTGTGGATGAAGATCCATTCTCCTTGTTTTCATTGGGGGGGGATTTTGTTGTTTTGTTTTGTTTTGTTTTTTCTTTGACAGGTAAATAGAAAAATGAATTAGCGTATCTTTCATTATGCAGAGATAAGGGTCTCTGTTCTTTGCCATTTATTTTGTTGCCAAAACAATTTATTCCTTTCCCCAGGTGCTCCATTGCAACCTAGGGTATGATTCCCTCCTTTCAGCAGCTGGAGACCATTGTTCTAATAGGAGGGTAGTCTTCTCTTCAGGGCTTCATATATCCTGAAATTCAAATTGCTTGGT